CTCTGTATTCGGCTTTTGTTGAAGATAGTGATATCGTCAATAAAAAATCTCTCTACAATTAGTCTCATCAACCCAGGTGAGTTCATCTCTTTATTGCTTTGTCTTCCAAGAAATCAAGGATCCCCCAAGATTTATACAGTAACAAGTGAGAGATTTTCTTGTCATGCATGGGACACATACCCAATTTGAGTCATAGAAGGTTGTTATGTCCAAATTCCCATCTTTTGGTAGAAGAAGTCCTAAACATGGACAACCTTTCATATATCTTATTATTAGTACTTTAGTTATTATCTCCACATGGGATTCCTTCGGGTCATGCATGAATTAGCTTAGGATATGAATGACATAACTTATGTCTAGTCGTGTCATGGTGAGATATATTAGCCCTCTCACAAGTCTTTGATAGATGGTGGGATCCTTCAATGGAGGATCATCTTTTGATGATGACATTTCTTTATCATATTGCTGGCTTGCGAGTTTGGTGTTCTATTCCACTAGAATCATGCTTGGTTTACATGCAGATAATCCAGAATCTGATACTAGCTCAAGAACATGTTTTCTCTGACTGAGGGATATGCCAGTGGGGGATCTTGCAATCTCAATTCCCAGGAAATATTTAGGTTCTCGTAGATCTTTTATGTGGAAATGTCTGTTGAGGTGTTCTTTTAAGGGTTGAACGGTAAGTGCATCATTCCCTATGATAAGTATGTCATCCACATAAATGATTAAGGCAATAAATGAGGTACCTTTATGCCATGTGAAGAGAGCATAGTCATTTATGGATTGAACAAAACCAATGTCTATAAGAGCTTCTGGGATTTTAGCATTCCATTGGCGAGATGCTTGTTTCAGACCATAGAGGGACTTTCGCATCCGACATACATTATTCTCCCCTTGGCGGCGAAGGCCCGGAGGGAGATCCATATATAAATCTCCTCATGAAGATCATCATGAAGAAAAGCATTGTGCACATCCATTTGGTGGAGGGACCAATCACAAATAACTACAATAAACAGAAAAGCTCAAATAGTGACATGTTTAGCAATGGGAGAAAAAATTTCTTGGTAGTCAAACCCTTCCTTTTAAGTGAACTCTTTTGCAACCAAACAAGCTTTGTAGCATTCAATGGACCCATCAGCCCGATGTTTGATCTTATACACCCGTTTGCATCCAATAGGTTTCCGATGAGAAAGCCTAGGTACAATGTCCCAAGTATGATTTTGTGCCAGAGCATGGAGTTCATCAGCCATGGCTTGCCTCCACTGTGCATGAGGAACAACATCGGAATAGCAAGATGGCTCTTGTTCTGCGGAGATTTGACTGATATAGATCCTGTGGGCAGAAGAAAGACAATCATAACCGACATAGTTGGTAGTAGGGTAGAGAGTACCTAAGGTAGTCTGAACAGTAGGGCAGACAAAATCAGCAATCCAAATGGGTGGTCGAGTGGACTTTATGGACCGACGGGGGGTCGGCCTCGAATGATCAGGGGAACTGACAGGATTAGCAGGGAAAGAGTCTTTTGAGGAAGAAGATTCTTCGATAGGATCTATAGGAACACTAGTAGAGTCAACTGTGGTTGGAGAAGTACCCAGATCTGCTGTAGGTGGTATCATAAAATATGTGTCGGAAGGAGATGGGTAATCTTTCAGAAAAAATGATGCCTACTGGGGAGGAATGGTGGAATGAGTAGGAGTATCCATAAAAAGGAATGAATCTTCATGAAAAATCACATCTCTGGAAATCAGAAATGTGTTTCCTGTCTGATCATATAACTGATACCCCTTCTGATGCATAGGATATCCCATGAAAATACAACGAGTAGCCCGAGAACCAAACTTGTCATAAGTCCCAAGATTAGTAGCACAACACAAACAACCAAACACTCTGAGATGGCTAATATCCGAGTGTTTCCCAAAAAGCAATTCATAGGGTGTCTTACCATTTAGAGCTCTGGTAGGCATTCGATTGATTAGGTAAGTGGTTATGACCACACATTTGCCCTAAAAGGTGATTGATTTGTTGGCTTGGTGTTTAAGAGCTTTGGCTACTTTTAAAAGGTGTCAATGTTTTCTTTCAACTATACCATTCTATTGGGGTGTGTAAACACAAGAACTTTCGTGGATAATGCCTAAAGAGGAAAAATACAAAGAACAATAGTGATTAAAGAAATCACGGGCATTATCCGTTCGTATTCGTTGAATGGATAGATTGAATTGTGTTTTGATCATGGAAATGTATGCTTGAATTTTGGAATGGGTTTGGGTTTTAGAGTACATGAGATAAACCCATGTCCCTCGAGATAAATCGTCAACTATGGTAAGAAAGAATCGGGAGCCATCATGGTTAGGAGTGTGATAGAGTCTCCAAATATCCATATGAACAAGGGAAAAAAGGCAGGTAGTTGTTGATGTGCTATGTAGAAAAACGGTGCGGGATTGCTTGGCAAGAGGACAGACCGAACAATGGGGTTGTGGAACAGAGGCACTATGACCCAATCTTTGGTGAAAAATCAAGGAACTTTTATTAAAATTTATATTACAATCAGAGAACTTATTTTAAGTATTACAAGACAAAAAGTTTTTAGATTTTTCCACGGAATTAGTGAGCCAATAGTATAGACCATTTTGAACTTTACCNTTGGTGGAGAGTGACGATGACAAAAGTATGGTTGTGGTGATCACGTGGTCACACTAATTGCTTCTTTGTCTTGTCTACTTAGCCAGCTTACTCTTATGGACCACCAACACCAAGCATATTCAGTTTCAGTATGTATTGCAGTATGCATAATTTTATTATTATTATAAATGGACCGTCACTTTCTTTTATATGATTGTGTATATATATACATATATTACGACAATATTTGACTCATGACCAGACCAAGCACAACCATGCGAGTGCAGTCAAAGATAGAGAAGAGCCGTGTAGGGCATTAGCCAGAGTGATGTCTTGAAAGATAAGCTCAACTCACTAATTAGGCAGAAATTATGTTATATGTTATTAAAAGGAATTGATGTTACTCATGTTATCATAGACAAGGAGAACATCACAGCTCATATATTGGATAACAATTTTTTAATAAACGCACTCAACTCTAATTTCAGTTAAAAAAATAATAATAAAAATCTTCCTTCTTTTAAATTATCAGATAATATCAATAAAGAAAAATAGTAAATAAACCGCTATTGGATGATATGATTATAAAAGAGTAAAAAGAGGTTTCATGAACTCATGAATTCAAGTCCGTACAAATATTAATAAGAATGACTATTAACATTCTTACCCAATCAATAATTTTAAAATTCTAAAAAATTAATTAAAATATGTATAAACTGAGTCTCCTAATTTGAGTTGTCATGACAGTATCAATTTGGAAGTTGGGTGGGATTTTAAACATAAAAATGTTCGTCTGGTCCATATTAAATCCGATTAGAATATTGAGTTAATACCTCTTTGAGTGGGATCTAAATATCTAATGGAACAAGTGGAATATAGGAGGAGAGGAGTAGCATATTTTATTTAAATGGGTTGATAATATTTTATGATAAAAAGGTGAAAAAATTGATGTAAAATAATGTGGAATCAAGAAAAAGAACGGATGCGATTCTTTAATATAATAAATTAATTTTATTATAAGATTAAGAGGGGACATTATTGAGATGCATTTCTCAATCATTTCGGTCACATGTCACTTCAATGTATGGTAGAATGATGAGAATGCCAGAAAGGATATGGAATTATTGATATTTAAATTTAATTTATACAATATTATCAACCACTGGGTTCCCCACTTCCACTCTGACAACTATTCACTTTCAACAAAATCATTCATCATTCTCTTTGACAATATATAAATATATTATTCTTCTCTAAATTCCTTCACATTTAGGCAATTGCAGATTCAATGATTTACCTATCAATAGAGCTAGAATAGCAATGGTCGTGGCCACAAAAAGTTTAATCAACCAAAACCAAAAGGATCTTTGACACTAAGCACAACGCTTCAAAGTGCCTCTTCTCCTGTGCTCTACACTTTAAAATGTTTTCAAAAACTGTAGAGGGCTGACAATTCTGGGATAAAATAAATTGGGCCAAAACTTTATCTGCTTCATAAAACGTAGGCCCAATTTCAGTTTCCTTGCCTTTACATCAAAATCTGATAGACAGATAAATACACAGCACAATTAGCAGTTGTATTTTCCTCTGTCCCAAGGGAAAGTGAAACTGTAAAATCCAAATAGGTCCACTGATATTGTTTTATATATTATTTCTTCCTTTGTTGTCAGGACCAAATTAATTTGCTTCTTATATACTGTGTGATGTATAATTGAGTAACATGTACTGATGAATCTAGTGTATGGAAATTGAAGGATACTGTTAAAATATGAGCAGGAGTGGCAAAAGGGGCAAACAAAGTTGTTGAGGAATGCCAGAAAAGAGAGAAAAATTATGTATATTTCTTATGTATTGAGTTCACATGATTGAGTCAATTTATACAGAAAATGTAAAGCTATACAAGGGATGTAATCAGAGTTATAAATGTAGAATATTTGACAGTAAAAAATTTCCTGATGTTACTCCTGGAAATCATGTCAATTGCTTGATTCCAAGTTGCTTAATTCCAACAATCTTCTTTCCATATTTGCATGATTTACTTCCATATTCCATCAGATACTTACAAAAATCACTCTGACCATCAAGTTACTCATGTGAATATTCTGATGTATAGGAATTTTTAACTGAGAATTAAAATGCTTATGTCCAGCTAAGATTCCAAATGGAATTTATATTAACAGATCAATGAAGGTTTTGTATCTTTCTTGTTGCCCTCTGTTAAAACAAATATTTCTGGGAATTTATTTGTAGTAAGTTTACTGTTGAGTCGATTTGTTGTGGTTGGAACGGCTAGTTGTTTATTTTTACAATACATCTCTGCATAAGTTTCATTTTTCATTACATAAATGGCAAACTTAAGAGCTCGGTACATCAAACATATATAATAAACATAATTGCACTTGCAAAAATGTGCATATATAGCCTGAGAAGTTTTACTCGCAACAAATTGTATAGCAAATTAAAGTAAAAGTGCGTTAAGTGGTTTTGAGAACAAGTTGTGACATCAAGTGATGGCTTGTGTTATTTGTTTGGACTGCCATTCTGATCTGGCTCGGACTATCTCAGCTTTATCAGCTTGCATACGAAGTAGATGTGTGTATTCCAAGTCTGCAATGCGATTATTGGAATTATTGTTGGGGTCTCCAGTGACACTGGCTGTTGAACTTGTCAAGGACTCTAGCAAATTTGATTGGCGACATTCACGTCGATACTCCAGGGTCATGCTTGTCAGATTGTAATCTTTTAAGACGTGTATTGGCACACTCTGCACATAACTTAGGAATTAGTGAAAACCTGAAACAAGACAATGTATGTTCTATAATATGTGAAGTGAGATTTAATTTCTGAGAATTACCTCCAAAATCCATCCTATGTATTTGACATTATTTACATGCTGATTGGCATCCATGTCATTCCATCTTGGCTGGACAACAAGAGAGCACCAATTTATGAAGCATTGAACAGCAAAGATTTCTCAAATAATTCATTCTACTACCATAGGAAAGCAATAAGCAACCAATACAATTGTGGAGAGTAGTGTTGTACTTACAGCTAAACCAGACCGAATTCTCTCTGCAGTTTCATCAGTAAGCTTGTCAATTTTCCCAACATCATTTTGTTCTTTTGCAATTGCAACTCTACCTAGGTAAAATGGTAACACTTCTTGCCTTACTTGTTCAGGAATCTTTGATAATCTTCTTGTTTCTCTGTTCATGATCACCCAGGTGCTACATGGTAGTAATAGTAGTTAAGCATTTAGCTAGGAAGAATAAGAATCATTTTATTGGAATTAGACTACTAGAAGCCGCATATATGAATGTGGTGCACCTTGTTGCTCTTGTTATTATCTCTTGGGTACGATAATCTCGGATAATCCAGTCCCGGCGCATCGCATTCTTTCCTGCTGCATCAACCCAAGTATCTATCTCAACAACATCTCCCCTGTCAATTTAATTGTTATTTCGAATTAGTCAGCATCATACCTTGGATCGAAACACAGCAAAACTAGGAGTAGGAGAATTTCTATTCAATCTAATTATTATACTAATATGTAATGTCCTATACGTTTATAATGTTAAATTTAATTGTCATGTTTCAATGAGTATAATGGGAGAAAATATACCAGCAGCTATATCTCTGTACTTGAATGTTGATGCGAGTGACGACCCAGATGAGTTTTCTAACACTCATCTCTCGGGTAGCACCAAACCCGTTCCCAGCAAGTCCCGAGCTCGTTACATGATTCAGAGCTGTCTCCTACACTCGTAGCACACACATATCAATCACCTTCAAACTTCATTAACCTCTTCATAATTGTTAGTTATTCTCAATTTCTTTTCCAATATGTCATGTTCATGTACTACATACGGAATCATGTGTAGAAATTTTCTTATTTTATGTAGAAACACCGTTTCAGAAATACTGCAGGCATTCCCGATATATATTTTGAACCAATAAAAAAAATCTGTATGTACAAAGGAATTTTTTAAAACTCATAGAGTTTACCTTCAAATTAATTTAAGTTCATCAAATATTTGTTTTCTAATAACTGTACACTCATAAGGTTTCAAGTGCAGATTTATATATTAAATGGTTTTGATCGGTGGCATGACCTATATATACAGAGGCTATCTAGGCTTTTAGTTAAGTAACAACGAGAAAATGAATGAGAAAGAAAACCAACCTGAAGGAGATTCAAGAGTGTTTCCATAGTGGCAGTTTTATCTGGTCCAATTTCATATGACCTGACAATGAAGGTTTGTCTATACAAAAACCTATCCTCTACAAATTTTCCAAGCAAACATGCATGGAGGGGTGCGTCAGCAACTCTTTGATTAAGTAGCCGCTGATGACGAGTCTCTTCATTAACGTGAATTCCATTCACCTTTTTTCCATTCATGATGTCCAGGCTCTTCGCATTACTAGCACTTGCTATCACCAAAAGCCTTCCATGTTTTGGTCGGATCAAATTCAACGAGCAACAAAACCCGACCTTGGCCATGGCCATGGGTACGATCTCCTTCTCTTCCTTGAATAAATTCTCTGGAAAGGATAATCTTACATAACTTGTTCGTGCCACGGATATCATTTTCTAAGGGATGATGAATCAAAGTAGCTTTTAATAATTAATACCCAACAATATTAATTTAAGCCAATCAAATCCTAAAATTTCAAATTTTAGTTGGTGTAACCACTTGTTCAAAAAGCCTAAGAAAGGGGAAGTTCTTTCTTAAGAACTTGGGGGTGAAAAAATAAAATAAATAATTGCAACAGGAAGGAGATGGGGTTTGCAGTTGAACCACTTTGATGGGTGGGGAAGAAATGGAGAGGTCTCAGTAGATAGCTTATGCGAAAATCTGGAGGAATTTGAGTGGAATTTTATTAAGGAAATTCGAGTATGTTAACACTAAATAACATGTGTTTGTTCTTTGGATATATCCAAATTACAATTGGAGTGGTTCAGAATTGGGAGAGAAAAATGATTTGCTAAGAGATTGGGTTGGTCATCTGTATTCTAACTCTTGTAACATTTTGGATAATCGACGTGTGACAAAATTCAAAAGATATATAGTAATGAATGACATAGCTATATATATATATATAGCTTACCTGGCATAGCATGGAAAATGTACGAATATTTATATTCATCTCAGGCAATATAATAATTATATATATATATATATCTAATATATATATATATATATATTTTTTTTTTTGGGAGGTATATGAGGTATTTATGCTTATACCGGAGTCTATCTAATATTTAAAGCCATGAAATACCCTATAAACCCAATAGATTAAGGTAATTGTACAAATGTGATAGATGCTTCTTATGCGACTCGAACACAAGACCTCTTCAGTATAATAACTAACCCCAGTAGTTAAAAGGTTTATTATCCAACAACAAGGGGAAGAGATTTATTTCACCATTGTATAATTTGAACTAAGTAATCTTCTGCACCTTACTGTATATCGGACAATTAATGAGTAGCGATAACATGGGTAGGCTAATATTTACACACTAGTCTTATTATTGTAAACAGAATATATGGTTTATAGAGTTAAATTCCAGCCTGAAGGTACTAATAATATGTACAGCTTTAAATGTTGAAGATAATCAATATACCAATTCTGATTGCTACACCTTCATAATGAATTAAACTTGTTAAGTTTGTCAATTACAGTTTAGCAATCATAATTAACTTGGGTCTCTGCATTATAAATATGAAATAATAAATAATAAAATTAAAAAAAAATACTTGGGCTTGGGCCTCTTCGACCATTGCTCAAACTTTTTTTTGGGTTTTACGGCCTATCATACCTAATCATATTAATTAATGATGAGTATTATAATTTAAACCCCACTTAAACACTATTTGTGTCATAATATTAGTTTTTTTAAATTTAAAAATATATAATCAATTCAAAATTACCGAGATGGATTATTCATATAAAAAACCTTTTAACAAAATTTTAAACTTCTAGTAAGATTAGAATCTATTTATTTAATTCTATTCTATTCTTTCTTAGTTACTAAACAAACTTCCCCTAGTTTCCATGAAACTCTCCCAAAATATTTTACATCTTGTTACATCTACTATGGTTCAAGTAAACCACTTCAAATTACTTGATTTTGTTTGCTTCTATGAATTTTCACAATTGCTGTTAAACCATCAATTTATTTAAATAAAAGAGTAAAAGTATAGTGATCGTTTCTTTTTTTATTTATTTTCTTGTTTATCACCATGATTAGAAATATTAGATTTAGGTCAAAAATATTAGAATTAAATTATGTTTACTAAAAAATTTAAGTAAGGCTTGAATAACTCCACTCTTAATTATTTATCTTAGATCATTCCCTTGAGTCAGTTGTAGACAAGTCTAGGTTTTGGACCCTCACTCAAAAGAGACTTGGGCTGCGCCTATCATTAATGGACCCTTATGCACAACTGGTCCAATTACATTACCTTTTTGAAAAAAGTATTGTTTCTGTCAATCGCATTGATTAAACCGTCTGTTACTTGGATCGGCATGTCTAACGGCACGTGTCACCGACTCTTATCCATTAAACACTTGGACACGTGGCTTGTGTTTGGGGAAAAGAACAAAGCCATTAGATTTTCATCTCAGATTGATTAAGGTAAGACAACCCAAAAAAAAAGTTGCAGTGGCACAGGCCTAGAATGCACTTAATTTATATCACTGCTCATCTGGACGGTGCTAAATCTAGTTCAACACGTCGAAGGCAGAATCCGATACTGAATTCTTTTCTGCCACGTGTCTCTACTTCTTCTATATAAATAGTTCTTAATTGCACCATCAAATGGCCCACCCAACTTTGTCTTGACTCTTGATAACCATCAACCGTTTTCTTCAACAATCAGTTACTCTGTTTTATTCTCACTCCTTCCTGGTTTTCTCTCTTTCAGTCAGAACCCGTCAATAATATTACAGCAGCTACAGCAGATAAAATCATAAAGATGAGTCGTTCTTGGACTTTGCTCACTCACGTTCATTCACTAGCTGGGTATTGATTCTTTCCCCTTCTTCTTCCTTTTTTTTTTTTTTAAATTAATACTCTAATTTTGATTTCTCAAACATTTGAGTGTAATATGTGCAGGCCGGTTTTGATGTTATTGTACCCCTTGTAAGTGACCCTGTAGACTTGTTTGTCGTTTATTTCTTAATTATTATTATTATTTTTTTAATCTTGTTAGTGATCAAATAATTAATTTCTTTTAATTTGTTTTTGTGTGTGGGGATTTATTTTAGATATGCATCAGTTATAGCCATAGAAAGCCCATCGAAAGTGGATGATGAGCAGTGGCTTGCTTATTGGATCTTGTATTCATTTCTGACTCTTACGGAGATGCTACTGCAGTCAGTTTTAGAGTGGTAAGATGAAACTTGAATTCGAAACAAACTTGTTGAGAGATAGAGCGACTCACCAATCATATCACAAAATGGTTAAACTTGTCTATTGGTTGGTTTGAATTTCAGGATACCAATTTGGTACACAGTGAAGTTAATGTTCACTGTATGGTTGGTTCTACCACAGTTCAGAGGAGCAGCTTTTATTTATGATAGGTTTGTAAGACAGCACGTAAAGCAGTACACAGGAGGAAATGTTCAACCCCCCCATCACAAATCTCCTGACAGCAGTGGCAAGGGCAAGAAAAAGTTTGTGAACTTCGTTGTACCAAAGAAAGTAAGTCTGAATTCTTATAAGAATATGCAGTGGAAGATGCATAGAATTCTTATATATATATATAGTAATATTGTTATTTCCTAGATTGTGTGTTCATCTTGTTCGAGGGTTCTGATATGTGAAAGACGTGAAAATAATAAATAAGATTTGAGTATTAATTTTCTGACGAAATGTTGTTAATGTGGACGTGGACAGGCAGAGCATGAGGCATACTAAAGAGGAGCAACCTGAATCGCCCTTGGCTCGTGTGAATGAGTTGAATTTGATATCCATCCTTCGCTTTTTTATTGATGTTTCTTTCGGTTGTTGTATAAGATGTTAAACTTTTAATCCGTGTATAATAAGTTAACTGCTTTTATTTCAAGGCTTTTGTGATTTTAGTCTTCAAATCTTTCATTATCATGAATGTTAATTTGTCACCAATAATGGACCCCTTGATAACAAGTTAACCTACCACCAATTTTTCATTTTCACACTTGCTCCATTATTTCAATACGGGTTTAACCGATCACGTTCTCGGTTTTCCTGCACTGTATTTTTGTTATGAGTACAGCAAATATAAGGAACAAAATTAAATGGTGCTACTATTCGATGGCTTTTTTGGTATCTAATTACTCTTATAATAGGCATTAGTTTCTTAAAATAAGTAATCTAAGTGACGTGAATTCAGCCCAGAACTTGCCTGTGATTAGAATTATTTTTGAGCATTTCCGCAATCATAAACCTTAACCTAATGATTTATACAAGTAAGGAATAAGTTTCCCAAAAAAAATTGATTTGCCTTTTTGAATAATTTGTTTTAAAAAGACATTCCTTTTCGTATCTACCACATAACGAACAAAAAAGAATTGTTTCAAATGAAAATATTCCCATTTGATTTTACAAAATGTAAACACAAGGGAACGGTCAACATCTTCATTGCGCATTTCATGTAAGTGATACTGGAACTGTTGACATGTATATATCATGAAACGAGCGATAAGACTATACTGACGAAAGAGAGAGTGACTAGAGGAATCATATTCGTAAACCCAAATTTAATAACTCATTACTCGAAAATATTTCTGTTAAAAGATTTGACATGTTTGCTGGGCTTTACGCCAAACGATCCATTTCCATTAGGCCTTCCTCATTACCATCATGAAGCCCATAAATATAAGGGAACGGGGTTGTAAATTTGTAGAACTCATCCATATAAAAAAACTAATAAACTTTTATCAATAGTTTTATTAAAACATGTCACATTATATTCCTTCTTTTCAATTTCATCTGTCTCAAGTATTAATAATAATATGATCATCATGCAACAATCTCACATCAAATTTTTTTATGAAAAATTCATACTGGTAATCATTATTATAGTTAACAAATGAATAGGTATATATTATAGGTGTATTGTAGCAATTAGCTGAAGGAATATGGACAATAGGTGGAAAAAAAAAAAAAAAAACGAAAGAAAAGAGAGAATCAAATCTGTGCTTAGTCTCGTCCTAAAGCCATAGGTTCTAATAAATATTATATCTGTGGATTCTGTGCCATGTTTCTTGTAATTGTAAAATCCTACTTGAAAAGCAGGGATCTTGAACAAATATGACGGATTGGAGCAAAGTAATCTGAAATGAGATATGGACAATTAAACAAAGTGACTGAAAACAGAGGCGGTCCCTCATGTGCAAGAAAAAGAGAGTAAAATATATGTATATAAGCATTCAAAACATGAAGGAGAGTGGCATCTCTTACTTTTTAGATCAGCAATAATGGGTTTCAGCCTGTAAATTTATCCCACTACTTGCTATCTTTATCTTTTATTCTAATCGATGAAATCTACGTACATGTACACGAACGCTTCGGACAAGGAGGTATTTGTTGACGTATTGTTGCATAATATACACACATTTGCATGTGCTCCTGTTTATAATTCTTTTGGTGTAGCGCAGGGAAGTTTCATATCTCCCAACCAAACCCATTTCTTGAAGTTCTCTTCTCTTATCAGTTTAATTAATAAAAGCTACTTTCACAGTCTATCTGTACCTTTAGCTCAACTTGTTGATTTTATTAGTCAAAAGAAGGATTTAATTAGCGCTTATCAATTTTTCACTAGCACCAACAGTTTCCCAATTCTTTGTTTTGCTATCATTTAACCTCAAATTATGAAGCGGTTATGGGTTATGGCAAAAGGCCATTCTTCACTGTCTCATGTGCGCATGCGTGTAAACACAGAGACATTAGGCATGAAGTTTTCAGATAATCTCGATAAATAAAGAAATCTTCACTCGGAAAAAAAAAAGCATATATAGTCCATCTTTTTCAATTTCAACACCAGTAATCAAATCATAGAGCGTATCTATAATTTATTATGGCCTTCAAAATCTTAAGGCGAAAGGTTTGAAATTAAAGGAGGCATACACTCATAGTCAAAAATACACATCAGCAGATCAACGATGTATCTCCCCAGAATTCGATAAAGTGGCGCTTTCTCTGTCTATTAAAATGACAAAGTTAATTTAAATTCTTAATTTGCCCATTTACTAATAAATTGTTTTCATGCTCTAATATAATACACAAGCTATTGACAATGGGATTTAAGACAGTTAAGAACATAAAGAATCATCTGTACTTTACCAGTACGCCTTGGTTTGTTGAACTTGTACGATCCCCTTTATCTCATTTTTCTTTTGCCATAAACAAAAATGTATTGTTCTTAGAACATATATGATAAAGATGTATGCACACTCTCAATACAATTCAATCTAAGCAACTGATCAATAAAAATTACAAAGTTTCAATTTATGTCAGTTTATATGTTGCATGAGATTATACCTACTTCAACAAACGACGTTGAAAATATATTTACATTAACTAGAATGAATTAAGATAGAATTTTTTTCTTCACCTTTCCATGAATACATATCATCAAGAAGACAAAAGAACTGGTTTTTGAAGTAACCATGTTACTATAGATATTTATCTCTGAGATTGGCCAATCCATAAATTTGAGGAAAACTTAAATCATAAGGAGTAAGGTAGATTTGTAATTCTTTTTTTCTGCAGCTGGATCGAATATCAAAACGTGCCTCATTTCTGACAATAACTTTTATGCCCCACTTCTCATGTATTGTTATTATTATTCCACTCAACAATGTGCCCCTTCTTCTACCATAATGAATTATGGAGGGAAAAGGCAAAGCAACTTCAACAAGACTCTACTTCTCTTCCAATTACTTAACATCTATCACAAAATGAAAAGAGATTACTAATGCTTTGTAAGTGGACTTCTCCTTTTATGGTACTATGTGCTACTCTCAACAAACATTAGGTTTGAATAAAGTAAATATCCTCTGCTGACACTGACCTAATAATTCGCACAATCAATAAAGCAAATTTCAAACGTCTCTCCCAAATTAACAATTGTTTATGGTTTAAGTAATTTACATTATAAGATGTGTGATCCAAAGTAACTCTTCACTTATTCCTCTGCTCTTCAATTATACAATTTTGGTTCATGTGCCCTAAGAGGGATTTAGTTACATTATTCTGGAACATTTAACTATATACGACAGTTTATCTCTAGTTAATTGGTTGTAATTCAAACAGAATTTTCATCCTTCAAACTGTTAGTACTAATTAGTTACCTGATCCTGAGGGATTCAAAAACATCAGCTATGGGAAAGCAAAAGGTATCCTAAATAGAAAAGTAGGTTCGCTAATAAGCATAATCAATCTCCCATGGCTTTTAAAAAAGTACTCGCCCGGCCCGCCCATATAAAAGTAAAAACAAAGTAATAGCACACATTTTACCAGAAACACCCCGCTTTTCCCCGCTATATAATCCTGTTTTTGCATTGCTTTACGTTCCGTCAGATGGCAATTCATCTTTTTTTGTTTTGAAGTTTGCATCTCAACCCTTCTAGTCTCTTCTTCACAATTTTCTTTAAACTCTTCTAGTTAACCTCTCTTGTAACTTGTATCTTGCCAAGATGCAAAAGATTCAAGCCATGAAAATATACAAGAAGAATCAACTTGAGAGTTTTTTTATTTACTCTTTAACAGTATTAACTTGTAGTCTATTCTGTTCCAGCCCCTTTTGGTTTCCCTCCCTATGTTCTTCTATGAAGGTGCTTCTGTTTGTTTCTCTCCCAAAAATTGGTTTCATGATAATCAGCCCCAAACTTTTGTTCATAGTGGGCAACCTCATCGTTGTTATCCTTATAAGAGAATCCAAGTTCTTTGCTTCAGACACTTCTTCAGCAAGCAAGGTGTACTATGATGAGTACATTAACAAGTGCAAGAGTACATGTACTGGAGCCCATCAGAATTTTTCTACTCTTGAAGTGGAAAAAATTAAAGAGAAAAAACAGGAGAAATATTGCTCCGAAAAAAATGTAGTGTTGGAGAATAATGAAAGACAGGAATTAGAAGGAAAAGTTGACCGTCAGTCCGCTTTCCCTGCAGAGGAATTGAACAAAAGAGCTGAAGATTTCATTGCAAGGGTCAACAGACGAAGAAGGCTCGAAGCTAGACTTTTAAATTGTGGATAATGATACAGGGAAGAAAGAATTTCCCGAGTTTGGAAGGATCTAAAAAATAAGATCTTATAAACAAATTTGTTCAGAATTACGTTACAGTAATAGTTGCTCTTTTATTTCCACCAGCAATCAAGTATATATAGTTAGACAATTGTGGGTTGAGAAGATTCATTCCTAGTTTTATATTTGTAATAGTGATTGCTCTGTAGTTGTGCATGGTGTAATTGCTCCCGCCCGTTATCTGAACCTTCTATTACAAATTTACAGAAGAAGTTTCAGAAGGAATTCTTATATATAGCTTAAGAAACAACTGTTTGCGGTTGCGGATATAAATTTATAAATAACTACATCAAGATAAGGAAAAAAAGAAAGGTATTTAATCCTTAAGAAAAAGTGCTATTACAATAACATAACAAAATGCAAGATGCAGAGTTATGTATACATGATGTTTGCAGTTACAATTTAAAAATACAAATCTTGGGGTTTTATGAAATAAATTAAAATTTTGAGTCAACTAATTATTTAACAGTGGTAGTAGTATACATTGTTATTTACATATGATATAATAACTATAAAGTTATCTATTTAAAAATCAATAATATTATATGTACAAATAAATCTTACAAAGATTTGTGTACAGACTGATGTGGCATAAAATGAATGGATGAATGCAGGAGCGGATCCAGCCACTTTGCCCAACCTTAAATTTTTTTTTTTAAGTATTAATATATATAATTTATATATTTTGGCCCACCCTAACAAAAATATTAATAGACAAAAGTATTAATGTATAATTAATTTTTACTTTAGCTCACTCTAGTAGAAATTTCTAGATCCGCTAATGAATATAAAAAGTCAAACTTATCATATTCACTCTTTTATTTATTTTGTATCACATCAATTTATACATAAATTTTTATAAGACTTGTTTGTACACGCAACATTACTCTTTGAAAATCGGAAAATAAACTTTTGATTGAGTTTATTCGTTCATATTCTTCTGTTTGGACTCAAATTGGTAACAGGGTATTGTAGGCAGCCCACAATTTTAATTTGTTGTATCATGGGCTAATGGGTTCACTAGACATTAGAGTTTGAACAAGAAGTTCAGCCCAGTTAAGGCGGTCCATATCTGAATTTCTGACTGAGCAAATTTTATTTCTAGCTTAAGCTGCAAATTGCAATATAAAGACTTTTGCAGCGAAATCTCATCATGAAACTTCAATTTAAAGTTTTAAGTGAAGAAACTGAAACACGTATGGTTTATCCATTCTAAAATTTGAAGCGGCAAAAGTCACGATAACATGACAAATGGGGAGGTGATGCGGTTTGTCTGAGACAACGTGTCGAATCCTTTCCATGCAACGGTGCCAGCACCTTCTATCACTCCTTCCACCACTATCCCTTCCCCTCACTATAAACACAATAACATAATCGAGATTCGATTATGAAATTTTATTTTTTCTCTTGCTTCAGTCAGTCATGGATTTTATTCACACGTTTCTCAACCTTGTAGCTCCTCCATTTACCTTCTTTTCCTTGTGCCTCTTCTTACCACCATATCTTACTTACAAATTCTTCATTTCTCTGTTCGGCAGCATTTTTAGTGAAAATCTCGAGGGAAAGGTCGTCATCATTACCGGTGCTTCTTCTGGCATCGGAGAGGTAATTAATTAATAATCAACTCCTTTCCTATATCTTATACTAATCATTTTGTGAAAGCCTTTGTCGCTGGTATAATAATTCTAGGACCTTTGATTAATTTATTTAATGCTTTATATTTAGCAATTGGCTTATGAGTATGCTAGTAGAGGAGCCTGCCTAGCTCTTTGCGCTAGGAGAGAAAGAAGCTTGGAAGAAGTTGCTGATGCAGCCCGTGACATCGGTTCTCCTGATGTTATCACCATTCGTGTTGACGTTTCAAAGGTTGATGAGTGCAGGCATCTAGTTGAGGAAACAGTTAATCATTTTGGGAGATGTAAGTAAGACCAAATTTATAAAGTTAATGAGTAGTGATTTTCTTAAAATATATAGTGTATTAATTAATTTGATTGTGCATGGGTACGTGGTGCAGTGGATCATCTGGTGAACAGCGCTGGCATTAGTGCAGTTTGCTTGTTTGAAGAAACGGATGATATCACTAATTTTAAGTACATAATGGTAATTCATTCTTCCACTAATATCAATTAGAGAGCTTACGAGTACAGTGGTCTATTAAGTAGCAGGTACTGTTTCTGAGTCCCATGATTTTTAACAGGATACAAACTTCTGGGGTTCAGTTTATACTACTCGCTTCGCAGTTCCACACCTCAGATGTAGCCAAGGCAAGATCGTAGTTTTGTCATCCTCTGCTTCGTGGTTGCCTGCACCCAGACATACCTTCTACAATGTAACTACTTCACTCTAATCCTTTCAATTTTTTATAATAGTTTTTGACATTTCAATTATATTATGACCTCAGGCAAGCAAGGCGGCGATGCTAAGCTTTTTTGAGACATTGAGAGTTGAAGTTGGGTCAGATGTTGGCATAACCATTGTGACTCCTGGATTCATAGAGTCTGAATTAACCCAAGGCAAATTCTTCACCAGGGCAGGCAAAATTGAAGTCGATCAAGACATGAGAGATGTAAGATATTCTTCCGTTCTTATATCGCATATGCTAGGAATAGTTTTTATCACTCTTAGTAATGTGTTTGATTAAATTGAAATATTTTTTTGATGGGGATTAGGTTCAAATAAGCGCAATCCCAGTTGGATCAGTAAGTGGGTGTGCAAGGGCAATAGTAAATAGTGCTAGCCGTGGAGATAGATACTTAACAGAGCCATCATGGTTCAAGATTACATATTGGTTAAAGGTGTTATGTCCTGATTTGCTGGAGTGGATTTATAGAATGTCTTATCTGAGTGAGCCAGGGGCTCCAGCTCCACCGACCGAAGCGCCCAGCAAGAAAGTCCTGGACCTTACTGGAGCCAAGAGAGTTCTATACCCATCCACTATCCAATCTCCTGACAGCAAGAAAGAATAGCTTGCTTGAATAAAAATAATAATACCGTTGAAAGGAGCCAAGTTGTTTTAGAGTTTTTTATAGTCTGGTAGACAATAAAACTATATTATGTGTGTATACTAGGATGTAATGCAGCTGCACTACTATCTTTCTTTACATTGAAGTGTGTACGTTTGGTTCGGGTTTTATTTAGATCTTTTATCAAATTCAAATTTTAATTAAATTGATTCCATTAGTTGACTTATTTTTAAATTAGTTTTGAATGAAATTGATTTCGATTGGTTGGCTTATTTTTTTACTTTTTAAATAAAAAATTAAAATTAAAGAAAATTTCTTTTTACATTAAATTAAGTGTATATTAAGTTGGTATTAATTTATGCTAAAATATAAATATAAATTTTATTTATATATTTATTATATAATTCCATGTAATATTTTAAGAATCTTGTTTGGATTTGTAGCTTTTTAGAATCTGAAAACTCTAATCAAACCGTTCGTTAGTTTTAATTCCGTTAGGTTTTTAAAGTTTGAATATTTTTTTTTCCCTCCTATAATATAGCAAGTAGGGGGATTTAAATGAAAAGTTGGTCATCCACAGATTTTAAAAATTAACATTACCGCCCCTTCAAAACTCATATAATATATTTATAATTATTGCATTTGTTGTCAATATACCCTTACACATGCGATTTCATTAGGAGCATGATTTAAAATAATAAATTGGGCCTAAGAGCAAGATTTAAAAGAGTGGATTAATAAAGTCAAGTCTTGACGAAAACATTAGTGGAGTTGCTATCTGTAACTATTAACATTCTATTTTTAATTTCATTTCTTTCTAATTTCTCTTCATTTTTTTTACTTTTGATCCGTCATTTAAGATTCAGCAATACAACGGGGTTTCTTATAATACTTATCATTCTAACCAGACAAAAACAATAATATTATTTAATCCTTAAACTTAATTTCTCTAAGATAAGTTATAATATTAGGTCAAAAAGGATTGAGTAGTTGAGCGACTAATAATATTTATATACTTATATATCGTGCTTTACAGCAAGGGGTGGCGTCACACGCCAGGCCTCTGATTTTTTTATTTATCATTTTTGTCCTTATAGGATCCAGTTTTTCATTCTTTAAGATTGAAACTTGACTTTAGACCTCTATAAATTAATGTAACTTCCTAAATTAATATTTTACTCTGCCTCCTCGTTTATTAAGCATTTCATGGATCTGCTTACAGTGTGCGCAATAAATACAATTACTCACCTTCTCCTCCTCTCTCATCGGTCTACACTGTAGCAATCACAAAATTAAGCCATGGATTTGATTCACAAGTTCTTGAACATTCTTCTTCCTCCTTTAACGTTTTTTTGGCTCTGTGTTCTCCTACCACCATATATTGCTTACCAGTGTTTTAGCTGTATGAAAAGATTTCTATTCAGAGAAAATGTAGCCGGAAAAGTTGTGCTCATCACTGGAGCATCTTCAGGCATTGGTGAGGTTAGTAGCTATAGCTAGATTGAATGTCGTCTTCCAATATATGAATCTCATAATTTTATTATTCTGATAACTAATATATATCATTGTGTTTCTTAAATGAATTAAAGTATCTTGCGTACGAGTATGCTAGAAGAGGAGCTTTATTAGCTCTTGTTGCAAGAAGAGAAAGTCGTCTTAAAGAAGTGGCTGTTAAAGCTAAAGAGCTTGGATCACCAGACGTTATAGTGATTCGTTCAGATATTTCTAAGGTTGAAGACTGTAAGCGCTTTGTAGACGAAACATTTAATCATTTTGGTCGATGTAAGTACACTTGTTCGATCTCTTTAATTTCTAACTTTTTCGGATTTTTGTTGACAAGAACAAACAAAATATTGAATAGTACTATTCTGCAATATGTATGGTTAATGAGACAGTGGATCAGCTGGTGAACAACGCTGGTATTATTAAAGTCAGCATGTTTGGATATGCCACTTCAATTCCCGATTTGCATCCTCTCATGGTATTTGTTTATCGCATTTTACATTTAATTTTTAACCTTGGCATAATTGTAAGCCCAAAGTGATTTGGCATATCCTGGAAATCGTAAATGTGCGATTCTAAAGGAGATTGATGAATGAAACATTAAAGGAATAGCGTAAACAAAAGAGTTCAAATGTGGATTCACTTACGAGTCAATATGCATCACTGTGCTTAAAGATTGCTGATATTTGATGTGTTTGTCAGAGCGTAAACTTCTGGGGTTCAGTCTATGCAACCCACTTCGCTGTTCCACACCTAAGAAAAGTCAAAGGGAAGATTATTGTCATTTCGTCAGCTTCTGGATGGTTCCCTACGCCGGGATTAAGCCTCTACAATGTTAAGATACATATATATATATAGCTTTTGTAATATAAAATTTTTCAGTTCTTCGTGTTCTCTACTTATTATTAGCTGATTATGATTAAATCTGGTACTGGTTCTGCAATAAATTCAGGCAAGCAAAGCAGCACAAATAACTTTATTTGATACATTGAGGGCAGAAATTGGTTCGGATATTGGAATAACAATAGTGACTCCTGGAAGGATTGAGTCAGAGATGTCACAACGCTACGTTCAATCGGAGGTATGCCAATTAGTCTTTTTCTTACCTGCATTAACTTATGGCTATCTTCTTGCCTTGTCCTTTTTTTTTTTTTTTTTTTTTTTTAATATTGATTTATTTTGAATGATTTTAACAGACGTTCGAAAAGGACTTGGTACCGGCTGTGTCGACCGAAACGTGTGCCAAGGCAATTGTGAACGGGGCTTGTCGTGGAAAGAGGTACGTAACAGAGCCATCCTGGACCAGTGTGCTGTTTGTGGTGAAGCTGCTTTGCCCTGAATTTGTGGATTGGCTCTGCCGCTTGTTGTTTGTGAAATGAACGACTTTAAACAATCATCCCTAGCGACATCTTGTTATTCTTTTTCCTATCATTTAATTGGATGCCTTTGAAGTCTCCTTAGTATCCCACCATTTCATATAATTATATTATTGACTTTAGCACCCCAAGTTATGTGATACACCTTTGGGATTCTCATTATCGATGTGCTTTATAACAATTTTACTCTCATTTAAAAAATGAGGTAGTGGCTATGTATCAAACAAGTGGAAAATTATAGCATTACTCTACTATTATTATGCCATGCAATAAATCATGTTGGATGCAAAGAGTAGCCATTGCTAAAGGCAGACTTATTGTGAAACATATGTTGTCTTCTTGACCTGCAATTTAAAATCTTAATAATCTTTATATAGCAATCAAACACGTTATTAAAGTCTTATATAGGAAGACATGGGAAAAAGAATAGTGGGTTAAGTTTCTGAACTATGAAGATATAATCCAAACAATAAACAGAGTTGCTATTAATTACATTAATATATATATTAATTTAATGCTATTAATATATATAGTGGAGATATTCAAGAATTATCAAACGAAGTTCTTTCAGTCCAGCTTCTGACCATATTTGGTAGCCTTGGTTTGACTGGTCAAATGCATGTATCGGAATTTAGGCTCCGTGCCAATCCAAGTGATTCAGGCTTTTATACGATCCATTTGTTCACAGCTTAATTTAAAATTAAAAATAAGTAGTTTTGAGTTTAATGCCTAATAAATCTGTTAATAGTATATGCTTCACTGATAATATACGTACAAATAAATGTTACAAAGACTTTTATAACAAATGGGTAACAAAAAATTGAATGGAATAATAAAATGAAAAATCAAACTCATTATAATCATTTTTTTATTTCTTTTTTATCAGACCACTTTGTACAAAGATTTTTATAAGATTTCTTTATAACATTACTTAAAACATATATGCATCTCTTGGGATTAATCCAATATATTTCTCCACCCAACCAAATATTCACCCACGCTCCCAACCGAATGAGAGCCTTGACGTGTATGCTGTTTTGTTTTGTGCTTTTTATTTTTCACTTTTCATTTTGTGCTTGTCTGTTACACACATGATTCCAATTTCCAACCAATTTAAATATAATTTATAAATTAAATATTTTTTTTTCCTGGCGATAGTTCCTACGTAAAATTTTAGAAAGCAATGAAAATTTGTTGCAAATTGAATTAAGAAATTGATAGTAACCAACGAAAAATTTCTACTTATTTAGAGCATATTTGGTCGAGTTTATAAAAATTATCTTATAAACAGTTAATGCTTATAAGGTAATTTGAATTTATAAGTATTTGAAATTTAAACAGTTATGTGTTTAGTTAAAATGCTTACAAGTAATTAATAAGTAGTTGAAAAATATGACTTATAAGTCATATTTTATTATTAAAATAATAAAAAATGATACTATATTATTTTATCAAATAATAAATTATATTAACTCAAATTTTTACTATAATATCATCACAATATATTTCAATCATATTACAATATAATTTAATTTTAGAATTAAATAAATTTTAGAATTAAATAAACAAATACTTTATAGACAAATATTTTATTAAAAATTTATATGAATAATTTTTGAATTATTTATACAAAATAAACTAATGAACAAACATAATGAATTATAATTATATTAAATAGGGATAATATGGTAATATATTTGGTTAAAGTAACTTATAAACAGAGTGTTTATAAGCAAAAATAATAATAATAATAATAATAAAGGTTTTCCCAACTTATTTTTTGACTTATAAGCTCAAAAAAATTATAAACAATCATGTCAATTTGATTTTAGAGTTTAGTTGATTTGACTAACTTATAAGCTCAAACAAACACCCTCTTAACATAGGTAATCGCATTCTTCCAACTTATACATAAATTTTACATTATGAGATGAAGCATAAATGATAAGATACATTCTTCCCGCTTTCCCAATCTCTTTAGGTTATAATATGTGTAATTACATAATAATAGTGTAGTAAAACCCATTACAAGAAGTTCATAGCTGTGAAAAAATAAAAAAAGTTTAAGCAAACGTGTTACGATCATATTCACAACTTTAATCACACAAGTCCAGTGACAACCTATGTTTTCCATTACCTCCATCATATTTCACAAGAAGTACCTTTCTGATGATTATTAATTGATTTATTATCTTCCAACAATTCTTATTTTTAAAATGGATAATTTCGCAAAACGCATAAATTCGAATCTTCAAATATGATTTCAAAAATATATAAATGGCACATTAATTAAGGTGGAGTAGTTGGCTGTGAATTCGAGTTAAATATTTTAATTGTATGCAGTAACTATAACTGCTCAACCTCCCCTGCTCTTTTCTCTGTCTACACGCGGTAGCAAAAAGCCATGGATTTCATTCACAACTTCTTGAACATTCTTCTTCCTCCTTTAACATTTCTTCTGCTTTGTTTTCTATTACCACCATATCTTGCTTTCAAGTGTCTTCACTATATAAAAAGATCTATATTTAGAGAAAATGTGGCAGGAAAAGTGGTGCTAATCACTGGAGCATCTTCAGGAATTGGTGAGGTTCGTAGCTAGGTAGATCGAATGCTCTCCTCCAATCATATTGCTTATATGAATCTCATAATTTTCATTGTTATTATAACCAATTAATAAAACCATATATATGATTGTGTTTTCTAAATGAATTCAAGTATCTTGCTTACGAGTATGCTAGAAGAGGAGCTTCCTTGGCTCTTGTTGCAAGAAGAGAAGGTCGTCTTAAAGAAGTGGCTGTTAAAGCTGGAGAGCTTGGGTCACCGGATGTTATAGTGATTTGTTCAGATGTTTCTAAGGTTGAAGACTGTAAGCGCTTTGTAGATGAAACATTTAATCATTTCGGTCGATGTAAGTACACATGGAATTCTCTTTTCAACTTTTGTCCTTTAGATAACAAAAACAAACAAAAAGTTGATTTCTATGCCTGGTTAATGAGACAGTGGATCACCTGGTGAACAACGCCGGCATTACTAAAGTCAGCATGTTTGAAGATGTCAATTCAATCTCCGATTTCCATTCTCTTATGGTATGTATTTAACGCATTTTACATTTACATATTTTTTAGCCTAAAGAGAAATGCCATGTGTAAATAATATTGTTTTTGGGTTAATTGTTTTTCATAGTTTTATGGAGTTATGTACCTGTGCATTCATATAGGAGACTGATACATGAATTTAATGGGAAATACAACATTGATTACACAGATCTCTCCAAGAATTAAGTAATAAGATTATAACTTCACAAATGTTTCAAGGAACTAAGTCATATTATTGTGGTTTGATATTGGAAATCATGAGAAGATATAAAAAAAGGAATAACAAGATTATAACTGCACTAGTTTCTCCAAGAATCAAGTAATAAATTTCATACTTTAGTTCATTCAATGATTTTACTGTTTTCTTCCATGTTAATAACTCTGGTATCAATCTTAGATATTGCGATTGCTATTGCAAGAATTTAGAATGGGGTGTGCATTACGACTCCCAAGTAATATATGCATTTTTTCACTGAAGAGAACCTTAAGAGTATGGCCTTTTATATACATGTCAATTTGCATTATCAGTGCTAAAAGATTACCAATATTTGATGTGGTTGTAGAACATAAACTTCTGGGGTTCACTTTATGCAACGCACTTTGCAGTTCCACACCTAAGAAAAAGCGAGGGCAGATTATTGTCATTTCTTCAACTGCTGGATGGCTCACTATACCGAGATTGAGCTTCTACAATGTTAGATATATATCCTCATAATTTGATTTATTCAGTTTCTCTTTTTCTCTGTTTAGCTGATTATGATTAATTCTGGTTCCGCAATGGATTCAGGCAAGCAAAGCAGCACTAACAAGCTTATTTGATACATTGAGAACAGAATTTGGTTCGGATATTGGCATAACAATAGTGAATCCTGGAATCATTGAGTCAGAGATGACGCAACCCGAATTTATATCGGAGGTATGCCAATTAGGCCTTTTGCTACTTCTTAGCCTACCTGCATAAACTTATCGCTCTCTCCTTGTCATTTCCATTTTTTGGAATTATTTTGACAGACCCGAATGGAGTTTGTACCGGCTGAGTCGACCGAAACTTGTGCCAAGGCAATTGTGAGCGGGGCTTGTCGTGGAGAAAGGTATGTGACAGAGCCATCCTGGGTCAGAGTATTGTTTGTGTTGAAGCTTCTTTGCCCCGAAGTACTGGAATGGTTGTGCCGCTTGCTTTTTATCCATTGACCCAATACTTTAAAGAAAAATGCCTAGCAACAACGTGTTATTCTTGTTTTATATTTAATTCCCTTTAAATTTATCATTGCAATTTGCAAGACTGGGGAAAGTTAAGAGAACTCCGATGAATGGTTTATGGAATATACTTGTGTAGTTATATGATACTCATTTGAGCTTCATAATCCCTGTGGTTAAATTTTTTTGTTAAAACAGAATTGCAAGAGTTGGTACGTGAACTCAGAGAAGTTATTCAGGAAATTTATTAACAAAGTTCTGCAAACTGTAAAGAAGTTGATAGGAAACGGGGTTATATGATTAGAGATAAAAGATGAATGGAATCATTGGTCAGTGTGAGTGGTCTTGTTGGAGCGTGACGAAGAGCTACTTGCTTTTGCTTTTTCAGTCCAGGTGACTTGAACCAGAAATTGGTAGCCTTGGTTTGACTGTTTGACCATTTGGGCTCTCTCCTTGATCCAAGTAACTTTGTTGTGTGTTAGAATGGCCCTTGTGCACCGTTCATTCAGGCTTAAAACACAAATTACATAATTCCTTTGTGATGTTTTCACGTCACAGCTTAATTTGAAACTTAAAAATTAAAAAAAAAAAAAATTAATAATAATAATAAATTAGTTTCAGTGTAGTGCCTGGTCTTTATGCTTTTAAGGTATTGGGAATTGATTTTTAGAGCCCATCAAATTTTTCATCAGCCCCCCACCTTAAACAGCAAACTTTGAATTCCACCTAAATTGAATTTTTCTTTAAAATTTTGTTAATTCTATAATAAATTATTATTTTTATAAATTAAAGATGATAGATTTTCATCATAAATGTCTTCCACAGAATCTGCCGTTTTCAAAGCATTACAATGGTTTAGTAGTAAATGAAGAATCAAGCATGAAATTGCATTTTTTAATCTCTTTTATAATGATGATGGGGTTCAAAGATCAAGTATGTGAGGACTCAAAATCATTGCTCTAAGGTATCCTATATTTCTATTATGGAGTTTCTTC